AAAAAATGAATAATAATATGTAATAATAAAATAATAATAATAAAAAATAATAAGTTTGCAAATTAAAAATAAATTAAAAAGGATTTAAATCAATATCAATTTAAACATTTCCTCTCTCCATAAACAGTAGTCGGCAGAGCAACGTAACCTAATCACATTAATTTGAGTTTTAAAGTCCCCTCAGCCCTCTACACCGCCAATCATAAAATCAGATTCTACAAGTGATGACGTGTCAGGAATGTATTGATGCGCGGGGTTAGTGACAGGTCCACTTTAAATTAAAATTCCCATCTCACGCACAACGCACGGGTTTTTCATCATATAATAGGTGTTGCGTTTCCCCGGAGCCCCCCTGTGTTGGATTGGGTCGGCACTGGGCCGGGGGAAGGGATGAGCCAGATCTTCGGTGATACAGAGAGCTTAATTGTAATAAAACCTCCTAATAATGAAGTCTGCGCTCTAACAAGCGGCGGCGTTGCCTGTACACGTCTCTCTCGCCGCGTTAATAAAATCCGCCGCTGTCGCTCTGCCCCCCGTCCCTCCGTGTAATGAGCGCCGTGGCGCGACTTTGCATGCGACGCTTAATAAACACACATCGCAATTTACATCGCAAATACGTCTCCCGCAGGCTGCCGATGGAACCCGCCGTGATGACTTCTCCGGGGACCGCGGACAATTCTACCATCTGACATCAAAACGCAACAAGCCGATGGCCCGGCGAGCCCGGTCAAATGGCGGGGACTTTATCTACCGGAGGGTCCATGTCGAGTACCAGGGGCCACAGCAGGGCTGTAGCTACCATGGGGCGAGTGAGGCACTCGCCTCAGGCGCAGCTGAGAGGGGGCCGGCCTGGCTGCACTCCCTCGCCCCTGTTGCCATGGCGAGCACAGGGCGCCATTGGCAACAGGGGAGCCGGGCGGCCTACACAGCGAGAAGAGGAGCGGCACAGGCTCCAGCTTCTCCTCAGATCCCCGCTGCTCTCCCCCACCTGTATGGGCTAAGGCACATGCGTGCCGCCATCCTGGAGGAGGGGCACATGATGTCACATACCGAACACGTCTATTGGGGGGGGGGCACAATTTTCTGTTCTTGCCTCGGGCGCAAAAAGAGCTAGCTATGGCTCTGGGCCACAGAGAGGAGGACCCTGAGGGCAGAGGGGCAGCCGAGGGGTGCTTAAGGATGAAGCGTAGAAGGCCGGGTGACTGTGTGGGGACTCTGGAGTCATGATGGTGCACAGGGGTCACTAGATGACACAGGATGCGCATGGATGCGCAATCATTGCATGGGTCAACCAATAAGTGGGCAAGGAACGCCGCGTCCAAAGTTCCTCAATAACAGGTCATAATAAGGGTCAGGTGATGTATTTTACCTAAATAACTTGATGTTATAGGTTCCCCTGTCTAAGAACCTGGAGGGGGGATGGGGAGTATCGATACATATACGTTCATTGGACAATATGGCTGCCCTAGGCGCGCCTATCCACCTTCTCCTGTTTCGGTCTTTTGTTTTCGCGTCAGGCTGGCAGCTTCGAGGTGATGAAGCGACGACAAGCATGCGACACCATTCCAGTTTGTCTGCATACTTAGCACCCCTCATACGAGGGAGGAATTCTCCGCATAACTGCGTGTTAGCGGTCTCATCCCCATGCCGAGCCTAGAAGGGTCCGTCCACCCTCAGATCTGATATTTTACCATTTTGGGTGAATGCCATTGAATCACCTCACCGGTTTCATGGTGACTCAGATGGGGAGAGTCATATTCTTAGCTCCGCCCACCTCTCACAGCCATGGGGAAGGTTCCTTAACTCTCCTGTTTATTCCAGGATTCAATACCAGCGTATAAGCCCTGAGGAAAGGGGCGGGGGGTTTGAGTTGCCTCCGAAACGAAGTGGTTAGGGGATAGCTGGTGTTCTGCCAGGGACCTACTTTGGACTTACCCTCAGGTCACTTAACAGGAAGGTAGGTGCCCGGTATTGCACATGGTACTAGGGAGTGATGGGCACACTGGTGGCACTGGTAGCGGGACGATGTAGGACGCAAGGTTGCACTGGTAGCTAGTAGCGCCGGCTGAACGGTGGCGCAGGGGTCAGGGTGCTCTGGTAGCTGGGGGTACTGGGGGGGAAGGCTGTACTGGTACCAAAATACTCAGGTATCAAGGCACACTGGTGGCAGGGTGACTGGTGGCAATGGCAAACTGGTGGCTAGGTACTCAGGTAGCAGGGTGCACTGATGGCAATGGTGAACTGGTGGCAATGTACTCAGGTAGCAGGGTGCATTGGTGGAAAGGTGCTCAGGTAGCCGGGTGCACTGGTGGCAAGGTACTCAGGTAGCAGGGTGCACTGGTGGCAAGGTACTCAGGTAGCCGGGTGCACTGGTGCCAAGGTACTCTGGTAGCAGAGTGCACTGGTGGCAATGGTGAACTGGTGGCAAGGTACTCAGGTAGCCGGGTGCACTGGTGGCACGGTTATAAGGTAGCACGGTGCACTGGTGGCAATGTACTCAGGTAGCCGTGTGCACTGGTGGCAAGGTGCTCAGGTAGCACGGTGCACTGGTGGCAATGGGGAACTGGTGGCAATGGGGAACTGGTGGCAATATACTCAGGTAGTCGGGTGCACTGGTGGCAAGGTACTCAGGTAGCAGAGTGCACTGGTGGCAAGGTACTCAGGTAGCACAGTGCACTGGTGGCAAGGTACTCAGGTAGCAGAGTGCACTGGTGGCAGGGTACTCAGGTAGCAGAGTGCACTGGTGGCAATGGTGAACTGGTGGCAAGGTACTCAGGTAGCCGGGTGCACTGGTGGCAATGTACTCAGGTAGCACGGTGCACTGGTGGCAATGGGGAACTGGTGGCAATATACTCAGGTAGTCGGGTGCACTGGTGGCAAGGTACTCAGGTTCAAAGGATACCAACACAATGCTCAGTGGGTCCTCCTTGAGCTTAAATAGCCCAAATCATGTGATGCTTCATGTGGCGCGGCCATGACACTCCGGGCCGTGGGAGATAGACGAGGAAGGTGAGTGGCTGCCACACGGGACATCTTCTTATCCTTCTAATGTTCTGCTGACCCTCCAACGGACTGACTCTGATTGCTGAATGGCATCCACCTTGGGGTTCAGAGCGCCACCAACACATACAGTACATATTTCAGGTTCTGGGAGCCAGAGGAGGAGGTGTTGAGGTGTCTTCCAATAGGAAGGGGGAGGGGCATGGGTGTGGTGGTCCCCATCTATGCAGCGGGCGTATACCCGAGGCCGTATTTGCGTCTTCAGCGCGCCCCCGGGTGGCATGACTCCGATTTTATATTGACACCGCGAGGGGAACGCTTTTACGCTTATTTTAATTAACGCTTAAAATTTCCAGAATCTGTCCGCCAACCATCCCCCCTCCCCCCACAAATGACGCACACATTTTCCGCCGCTGCCTTAGGTGAACCGCCGACATCTCGCTGTCCTCTCTCTCAGCTTGTCGAAAGCCAATTAGCAGTAATTATCCGAATCCTTACACTTCATCGCAGGGCAGCGTGGGGGTGCGAACATAGCGGGCTGAGAGAACGGCGCGGAGGAGGACGGGGTACAAGATGGATTCCGCCCGCCGTCAAAACATATCGTCAGCCCTTTCGGAGAGGGCGCTGATTGCGTTTTTTATCTACAGCTCAGCCGGTGAGTTTGAGCCGCCATAAAAATTGGCGGCGAAGCTTTGGGGCGCATCAGGCGGCAACAAATTAATCGCCAAAAGCGGTGTGCCGCGGGAAAAAAAGGCGAATGCGTAAGTGTACTGTATCCAACGCAATGTGACGGCCCACACCATTATCCCAA